CCCCCCAACCCTTGCCCTGTGCTACGAGCATTATTGTGGTCCCCAGGGCCACTGAAGTTGAGTAGCCCTGGTTTAGTTTGTATTCTCAATGAACACAGCGTATTGCCTTTTCCATGGAACAGTCCCATCTGCCTCTATAAACATATCAGAGCGAGTCCCTCAGCCAGGGTACACCAATCAGCGTTTTGTGTTAAAAGCATTACCGGAAAATCATGCCAGTCTAGACGTAGCCTAACAGATTAGTAAGACAGGATTTCTCTTTACAGAAACCATGTTAACTTTTGTCCAACAAATTATGTTCTTCTACATGCTTCACAGTTTTAAGGAGACAGAAGCAGAGCTGGCACAGGTGTTGTGGGTCTTCCTAACCATCGTAGGCCTCCCTCAGCCAAACTCCCCTGTCTGCAGCCTCCTGCTCGCTCTGCCTCTGGCTTTTAAAGCCTGCTTGCCTAGGCCAGGCCTGCCCCCTCGTGAGTCACACAGGGGAAGACTGACCAGGTGCAATCAAGAGAGCAATCCAGGGAACAAAGGGTCAGGCACTCAGTCCCAACTGCCACAGCAGCTCAAACTGAAACTGCATCTATAGCTGTCATAGCAGACCTCAGTCAGACCCTGTTTACCAGTGGTGACTGATGACAAAGGAGGGGAAACACCAGCCTGGCTTCTCCCCACCCCCTTGCTCTGCCCCTTCCCTCCCTTGCTCCACCCTGTCTGCCTGCCTCTTCCCAGCATTCCCCCAAACCGCATCAATGGGAAGCATCAGTGGGGAGGGGTGGGGAGGCTGTTTCCGTGCTGCTGGAGCTAGTCAGCGAGGGAGGGGTGCATGGTGCAGACTCCTTCTGGCTGCTGGCTGGCCCCTCCCATCTTAACCCCGCCTCCCCCGTGCATGCCCCATCCATTGCCTGTGCTGTTTACATATAGTTCAAGCAAATAAAATCAGTTTACTGTAGTCAGTTTAACAATAGGACCTAACCCTGTTATTAAAGACAAGCACTTAACCCTGCTCTGTGGCACGGGGACATCTCTGGGATGCAAGGGCAGTTCAATAAACAGGACAGGGAACTGTCAAGTGATCCCTCCCCTGTCACCCATTGCCAGTTACTGACAAGTAGGGGCTAGGGATACCATTCCTAGAATCATAGGGTATGTCTAGACTGCATCCCTCTGTCGGAAGAGGGATGCAGATTAGGCAGGTCGACATTGCAAATGAGGCAGGGATTTAAATATCCCATGCCTAATTTGCATAAAAATGTCCACAATGTTTTCCTACTCAGCCCCTTGTTGGCAAAAAGTGGCAGTCTAGAGGGGGATCTGTCAAGAAAGAAAGCCTTTTTCGACAGATCCTGTAAACCTCCTTGCAGGAGGCATAACCCAGGAAAGTCCATGATACCATCTACATGTTTTGTTAGTCTTTAAGGGTGTGTCTCAACTACACCCCTCTGCAGTCTCTGTAGATTCTGTAAACCTCGTTGCACGAGGCATAAGGGATCGGTCAGAAAAGGCTTTCCTTGTTGACCAATTCCCCTCTAGACTGCCGCTTTTTGCCGGCAAAGTGCCATGTCGGCAAAAAGTGGTAGCCATTTTTATGCAAATGAAGTGCAGGATATTTAATTCCCCGCTTCATTTGCAATGTCGACCTCCCTAATCTGCATCCCTCTGCCGACAGAGGGATGCAGTCTAGACACACCCATAGAATCGCAGGGCTGGCAGAGACCTCAGGAGGTATCAAGTCCAACCCCCTGCCTAAAGCAGGACCAACCCCGACTCAATCATCCCAGCCAGGACTTTGTCCAGCTAGGACTTAAACACCTTGAGGGACGGAGATTCCATAACCCCCCTTGGAAACCCCTCCCAGTGCTTCCCCACCCTCCTAGGGAAATAGTTTTTCCTAATGTCCCTCCACCATTGCAACTTCCCTAGATCTGCCGGCAATGCTCCTACTAAAGCAACCCAATATGCCATTAGCCTGCTTGGCTACAAGGGCACTTGACCTTGTTGAAGCTCATCAGATTTCCTTTGGTCCGATCCTCCAATGTGTCTGGGTCACTCTGGACCCTGTCCCTGCCTTCCAATGTATCTACCTCTCCCCCCAGCTCAGTGCCATCCCCAAACATGCTCAGGGCAAAACCCCCAGCCTGTCTTCCAGATTTTTAATTAAGCTGTTGAACAAAACCATCCCCAGGACCAACCCCAGAGGCACTCTGCTTGACACTAGCTTCAACTAGACAGCAAGTCAGTGAGCACTACCCACTGAGCCTGCTGGTCTAGGCAGCTCTCTAGCTCAGCCACAGCTCCTGGTCTTGCCTTAGCTCATCACTACTCAGGTCCAGACTGTTCCACCTCAGACTGGGATGGGAACCTGGCCTGATTCCCTCATCAACTGGTTCACTCTGTTAATCAGGCTGGCCTGGAGCACTGGCCCTCTCTTCATTGCTCCTGGGCACTGCCAGTTCAGGGGCCCACTTTCCTTTTGGGTTCATAGCAAGAGACTTCTAAACCCAAAACTGCCTCTTCATCATCTTCTCCATCCCCTTCCCCAGCCTCCAGCCCATCTCAGCTCATCTCCTTGGTCCCCAAACAAAAGGAGCAGGGCAGAGGGCGAAGCTGCTCCTTGGGGGAGGGAAGTGCCACAGCTTATGGCCCCGCCCAAGCCTCCCACTGCCCCACCTCCCACTGTCTCCCTTTTCTTACCCATTCCAGCCAAATCTGTGAGCTCCAGTGGAGCAAATGCTATTAGGGGGGAACCTTTTCTTCAAAGAAAATGGAGCATGGTTTCCACTGCATGCCAGATTGTGAAGCCTGGACATGTGGAAGGTACTTAATTAAAAGCCCTACAATTGGGAATAAAAGTGTCAGTCACAAATTTTTTGACATACCCTGAAGTGTGTCTGAGATTTATTTGCAAAAACTTGCAGTCTGATGAGAAGAATTAGGCATTATCATTATTAAGTAGCACCATAGCATCTCAGCTGCACATCCATGTGACAGTTACAGCGACCTAAATAACCATTGTTCCTCTTTCTGTGAAAACAACTCTCCCCCCGGCAACAATGGGAATTTCACAGATTAAAAACCTTCATTAATATAGTGAAAACTGCCCAGTGGGAGGTTGGGCCCTTCTAGATGTAAGCAGGGGCTGAACTGCTGCTTGCTGTCAGCCAGCTAAAAGGAGGGGTGGGTGAGCCCACTACAGTTGTTTAGCTCTACAAGGTAATTAACTGTTAATTGTTGACATGTAAATACTGCTCAGGAGAGAATCCGAGGTGTGGCTATGGAAATCCCATTCAGCCAGGGCTGATGGAGGGTCAGTGTTGGAATGGAATGTGGAGAATTGTATATAATTTGGGACTGTTGTGGGGGTAACTAATCATGCTACCCCTAAATGTGGGAACTGTAAAACATGCCACCAGTGCTTGCAGGAGAGACACCACCATCATGGTAAGAGGTCTCGGAAGAACAAGCTTCCCCCCTTCCAGAGTTGAGTGAATGGAGCTGCAGGAAAGGGTTAAAGGGCTTGAGTCAGCCTGCTTCACACCTGCCAGGTGTGAGCTATAAGACTGGCCCAGCCTGCACCTTTTCCCCCTTTGTTTTAAGGACAGACCTAAAGCAGACTCCCTGAGGAGTCTTTTTGTTTGCTAGTCCAGTGAAAGCTGGATTCATTTGAGAGCTGAAATCACTGGTTTGGCTGAGAGTTGAAATCACTAAGCTGAAATCACTGGTTTACTGTCTCTGCCCCTTATACCGATTGATGCCGTTTACATTATCCTTTCCACCTGTTCACCTTCTTTTCCTCAAGATTAAACAAATAAATATAAATAAAAATAAAGTTGAAACTCCCTTGTAAGAACTAGCATCACAAAGACAGACCAACACAATTTGGCATCTTAGATAAGAAAGAGGATACGGGCCCCTATGGGTATAAAGATGGTCCCAGCAGCACACTTACTCTGAGCATCAATCTACCATTTATCTGCTGCTTGGGTTAGGTGATTGGCCTCCCAAGGTTCCACGGGGACGCCACTTCTTATTCGTCTTTCCTAGGAATTGAGGGACCAGCCCTGGCCTGATACTCTAGAGTCGAGAGGCACAAAAGGGGGTAAAAATTGTACCTGGATGTGTCCTTTGTCTTAAGTGTACACATAGACCTCTTTAAAGATTAAGCTGTCACTTGGTACCATTAGTTCTATTTTCTATCTTTATTTTCTCTGTAACCATTTTAAGATCTGTATTTGCTAGCAGTTAAGAAATAGAGCAATAGCCACTGTAACCATATGCTTTAGAAGTCTTTTTAATAAACCTGTAACTGGTTAAGCTTTAACCTGACTCCTTCAGTCACTGTAACAGAACCAAGCACAATTTAAAAGAACTCCAGCCGGTCATAGGGAGCAGATGCAGGCAGAGCTAGACATTTGGATCATGTTGCCTCCAGGGGACAGGCTGCCCGCTGCAAAGTAACCTTGAGTTCTAGGAGTTGAAGACTCGGGTGTATTACACACACACCACGCACTGCCCTGGCCATCGGCTGACAAGCTCTTCCCTTGGGCGGCTCCCAAAAGCAACCAGCATACCCTTCTGACAGCAGTTCCTAGGTGGAGAGGTATGGGGTTCTTTGTGCATTAGTGCCCACAAGCACTGCCTCTGTTGCCAGGAGACTGGTTTGCATAGCAAGAAAGATTGGCAGAGGAGATGATCATTTTAAGAATGAGGAAAAACTATGGTTGTACGCAGTGTTTTTGTAATTGTGTCAGTCCCAGGATATTAGCACAAGAAAGTGGGTAAAGTATTATCTTTTATTGGATTTCATTAAATGTTTCTTTCCTACACTCAGACTCAGTGCTTGCGAGTGGGGAAGCATTGCCTCTTCGGGGCGCCCAGGTGTGCGTGAATTTCCCAGATTACTGGGTGGGGGCTCGAGCCGGTTCTATGTGAGATGGACCCCAAGATATTGAACCCAGCCCTGGTTACTGCCAGGCCTACCCGGCAGAAGGGTTACAAGGGGGTGGGCTGAGGTTTGGGGGGAAGGCCTCACACAGTCCTGCAAGGGTGGTGGTGGCCTCATGGGGGTGGTTTCTGCTTTTCCCTGACCAGGAGCTAGCTATATTGTCCTCTGTGCAAGCTGCTAACAAAATACAAAGACCCACACACAACAGTAGGCCTGGGTATTTGTAGACCTGTATTTTGGTGTTTTCAAATGACAGTTGCACTCAACACACAAGTTTTTTGGGGACAGAGGATCCTGTGCGTGAGCAAATTGGGGATGGAACAAGATGGGGAGAGAGGGGACAGGCCATGCTGGGGTGCAGTGATGCTGCCGTGTGGGTGACATTACAGGCAGTAGGATGGGTGGCCCATGCACAGGGATTTCAGGAAGTTATAGAGTCTAAATGAGAAATCCAAAAGATTCTGGTACCATGGTAGGTTGGGCCAGTCTGGTGATGGCTGGAGTTGCTTCCAGTGACACAAATATTTTACATCTTGTTCTGGGTGCCATTCAGTGGTACAGGCTCTTCCTCCACTGCCTGGGGGAGGCAGAAGCTCTGGACCTGGGTCACTTCTTTTACTGCTTGTGCTTACTACTCATGCACTCTCCCTTGGTTCTTTTTGCATACTTCAGTTTCTCTTAATTTTTTTTTTTTTGCATTTCCTCCAGGCCACCATCCGCCTTGGCATACAACTTGTTGATGTGATATCAGCCTTCTGCAATATCGTCTCGGCTATTCCCATGAGCTCCATAACCTGCTGGTCCCGCTCCTCCCCTGTGGCTCTGTTGTCGAAAGCGCAGTAGCGGTCCCTGCAGCGTGCAATCAGTTTCTTCAGATCTTTGTTATCTTTCTGCTTCACATAGTCATGCAGCACTTTACCCCCTAAATCTTCCTTCCGGGTGAACAAAACGATCATGTGCTTCATGGCCCTCGCTCCAAAAACCTCTCGTACTCGGCTCACGGCCTCCCTGTCCTGTGCAGTGTAACGGCCCAGCTGGGTCACCAGCAGCAGCGCGTGGGGGCCCGGGGCGGAGAGCACGATACAGCGACTGAGCTCTCGACAGGTTCCCGCATCACGGGCCGCTGGGCAGAAAACGTCAGGCGTGTCGATCACCACAACCTCCCTCCTGTTCCAGCGCATGCTCCCTTCAGCACATCCTCCCTCCCGCTCCAGCGCATGCTCCCTGCCGCGCACGCCTGAGTCACTGGCTTTGCTCCCAGCCTGGACTCAAACTCCTTCTTGCCAAGGAGGGTGTTTCCGGTTGCACTTTTCCCAGCTCCTCCCTTACCCACAAGGATGAATTTCCATGTGTCCTGGCTACTCCCTTGAGCACCTGCTGGGAGGAATTGTGACAGATTTACTACGTCATTGCATGTGATGGTGGACTTAACAGTCCTTTTAATTAAAAAATATATAAACTTGCATTAATGCTCCAGACTGCCTGTGTTCCCAGATCTGGGTCTGGATTTCAAACCTCCCAGCCTTGGATTCAGGCCCAGGTCACTGGAGCATCCAGCTGCTTTAACACAAGTGGATTTCAAGTCACAAGTGACAAGTGCTGCTCTCACCATTCTGGTGCCAGAGCTGAGCAGTCAGCTGGCATTTGGCATCACCACAGAGCTGAACACAAAACATTCACCAGCCCCTTCGGAGCAGAACGAATGGAGGGCTTGGTTTGTGAGGAGGGAACCGATTGGCTCTGAGGACTTGCAAAAGGATCAAAGGGGATTTTGAATCTTGGGGAATGTAGCTTGAGAACCCAGTAACTACAGTTGGCACTTTCATAGTGGATCATTATTTCCATAAATAGTCGTGTAGTGTGGCAGGGTTACATGGCCACAAGTGTTCATTACGGTAACCTGAGGTGAACTCCTATGCAAGGCAAACAGGAATTTCGCCCAAGTACTGCTGTACTGAGCCCAGTAACTCATGTTGACCTCGATCCTGATGGTGAAAGGCAGCCGGGTTTGCTTTTAAGATATCAAGGGGGAGAGAAATCCCTCACTTCCAAAGGCAGCATATGCCACTGTCCAGGGCAGGCCTGGTCTAACTTGAATGCATCTGGCTTTAACTTTCAGTAACTGGTTCTTGTTCTGCTAGATGAAGGTGCCTTTGGTACCAGTACTTCCTCCAAGGGAATGGATCAATATCCTGATAGCAAGTCACCTCTTGATCCCCATTTTGGCAAACTAAACACATTTGGCTGTGTCTACACTGGGCCAGCTGTCTACACTGGCCGCTTGCTTTTCCGGAAAAGCAATGACGATCTACTGTAAAATGATCAGTGTTTTTCCGGAAAAACTATGCTGCTCCCATTCGGGCAAAAGTCTTTTTCTGGAAAACTGTTCTGGAAAAGGGCCAGTGTAGAGAGCACAGTAGTGTTTTCCGCAAAAAAGCCCCGATTGTGAAAATGACGATCGGGGCTTTTTTGCAGAAAAGCGCGTCTAGATTGGCCACGGACGCTTTTCTGGAAAAAGTGCCTTTGCGGAAAAGCGTCCTG